AAAGATGTGACTTCAACATCGTTTCTTCTTCCACCATCTCTAATGTGTCTAGAGATCTTTGATTTTATGGAGTTGGAATTAGTTTCAGAGGCCTTGCAACGCCTCCCCTGCCTTGAGACACTTTATGGCTGGTCATGCCCGAAACTTCAAGATCTACAGGAGACAAATACTACCGGCCCATCCTCTTTGAGAATTAAGGTGCTTCGGTAGAAAAGTCATGGAGAGACTTGGTCTCACCCTTATTGCTGGAAGTTGGGGGGGAATTCGGTTGTGGAGTTTATCTCCAACAACAGAGTTTAAATCTCTTTTGGGGGGGACCCAGATAAAGGTTGAAAAGGAAAAGGGGAGGATTTTTCTATTCATTGTTCCTGTGAGGTTCAAGAAGAAAAGAAAATGAGAGAAATTGGCAAAGGTCTAGCAAGAAGAAAGGGTTTTTGAAAGGATCGATTCAAGCTTGGTGCAGAAAGTTTTGGAGACTCGATCGTTGGTCTTCGGTGTTCAGTTCGAAAGAATAGAATAAAGGAAAATACAGAATTCTACCGTTGCTCAACTATTCAACAACTCAGGTGAGTTTTCATGACTTAAGGGGAGGATACACAGTTAGTTTTGTTACGATTTACGCAGTTTAATTGTTATACATTAAGTGTTTAAATCGTTTAGCCACTGTATATATGATTGCTATTGTTATTTTATATTACTCAAATATCATAATTTTTAGTATGAATAACTCGATTTAGCTCAGTGGTACTCAGCAATAGTTATATAGTTCAGAGTTAGAAAGAGCTGATACTTTAGACTTAAGACTTACAGTTCAGAGTTAGAAACTCTGAAGACTTACACTTCAGATTTAGAAACTCTGAAGACTTATACATCGGAGTTAAGACTTACAATTCAGAGTTAGAAACTATAAACATTTGTACTTCGGAGTTAAGACTTACAGTTCAGAGTTATAAAGTCTGAAGACTTGTACTTCAGACTTAAGACTTACAGTTCAAGTTAGAAACTCCAAAGACTTATACTTCAGAGT